TATTCTTAGCTTCTCGTTCTTGGCTTGGTACTTTTAAGAATAAACAACAACATCATCATCACATTTCGAAGCACTATGCCCAAGTTTAGATTACAATTGTCAATCACCAAGAACTAAGCCTATTCCTTCTCTTATCGATATCCACCCCGGAAACTTTATCATCAACGATGATGGGCACATTACTATTATTGACTTCTCTGAAACAAGTATACTCCCATCTAGCTTTGCCAGATATGCAATAGTCAGCACGTCCCACAACCCCGAGGACCGAATTAAGCCGTGGATAGATATACCCGGCGACTGCGACGAGGTAGCTGAAAACACATCCACACTCTTTGAATCTGCTCGCTTGCTAGCCATGAGTTTTGGTTGGCTTAGTGAAATGGCACTAAACCTCCCAAGTTTCACTGGGCATTTTATTGCAAGCCTGGGATACCTATGGGCTAAAAACAGTTTCCTTTACCGGCCCCTGCTTCTAAACCATTTTATACGGAGTACACCTGCTAGGTATTTGGAAGTATTGTGTTTTTCGAAGTAGTTAAGTCAGGGTCGAAGCGCCATCACCTAAATCTAAGGATTGATTTATTTAACCAACCTATAATCTTATGCAAGAATACATTTCAACTTGGCCACAGATACACGTTTCGACCAATGTGAGAACAAGCTGAGGCATCTGAACATAAACTACACAAGTCATTCTATTAATTAAATACATGAACTCATATGGGGAACCCGCTCATCATCATACAAACAGTTATTCATAAAAAACCCGACACCGCCTATGACCTATACAAATTTGAGATGCAAATAGAAAAAAACCACCTTTGAAAAGACGACATTGGTTCCTCGAGCATCAACGGGACGGGATCGCAAGACATCCTACAAGAACCCTTTGCTGTTGCTCAATTTCCGTTGGGGAAGTTCAATACCTGAACCGACATATACGCCACTTCCTCGACGACTATACCTGTCGCCCATCTCGCTCACTCCACCGTAGCCTGGGCCTTTCATACTTCCCCTTTCTAGGCGGAGTGATTTCCACCCTTCTAATTCCCTTTCAAGGCGAAGGGATTTTTCACGTTCTTCGCGGAGCTCACGTTCAGCACGGCGAGCCTGAAGCTGGTTCTCAGAGTCGCTAGTCTGGAGTTCTTCGATCGTTTGGAGAAGGCGCTCAATTCTATCTCGCGACTTTCCAATGTCCTCCGTAAGCTGGCTGTTAACCTTTTCTCTTCTTTCAATCTGTGTCTGAAGGTCTTTAACCGTCCTATCCACATTGCGAACAGACCTCTGCTCCGCATTACGCTTCGACTCCTGTTCTTCCAGTTGAGTTTCAAGCTGGTGGGCACATAATGTTAGCATATTGCACTTGTACAAAGGGGCAGTAATGGATCTATACGTACTTCCTGGATTCGCTTATTGAGGAACCTGACATCCTGGCTCGAGGATGAATATCCTTTAGTTTCAAGGTCAACGCATCGAAGCTGAACTTCTTTGAATTGCTTCTCAAGTGCAGCCTTATCCTTGAAGAGTTGGGCTGTTGACTCCCGTTGAGCTACAATTTCCTTCTGCACTTCCGTCGCAAGTGCTTCGGCCCTTCGCATCTTACCAACGGCAGCGGATGCAAGATCTTCTTGTTGGGCAAGCTGCGACTTCAGCTCGAGAATTTCACGGTCCATACCAGCGGCATTCCGCATTGGGCTTTCGCCCTTGGCAAGGTCTTCCAACCGGTCTCCTGCTTCAGCAAGTCTGGACTCGAGGCCGCGTTTCTCCTTGAGGAGCATATCACGCTCGGCTGAGATATCATCCACAGAAGTGCGAAGTGTGCGAACTTGATTTAACAAGGTAACTACCTTACTCTGGGCTTCGTTGTGGGCCTTGACGGCATCATCTCTGGAAGCTGTGATATCCTGAAGGGTCATTTCTATTCTGGATTTTTCCTTGGACCAGGTTGAACTATTGAGAACTTCATCGTCCCATTTAGATCGAAGTTCCTCGAGCTCTTCCTTTAAGCGTGCATTTTCACCTCGAATATGGAGAACATTTTCGCGTTCTATTTCGAGCTCGCTCGTAAGCGTCGAGCATTCCATTTGATACTTCTTCCTCGTTTGCTCCATGGAAGCTTCTTTGTCCTCGATATCCATGGCCCGCTGGCTTCGGTAATCTTCGAGCTCGTGTTGGAGGCGCTTCTTCGCTTGTGATGCAGCCTCAAGATCAGCTGAGAGATCCTCAATCCTTTCTTCATGAGACTGTGCTTGTCGCTGCAGATCCTCAATGAGGTTATCAGTTTGTTTCCTTTCAGCCATGATATTAGCGCAAGTTTCTTCTGCCTCTTTGGCTTGTGCTTTGGCAAACTGTTCAGCGCGGGTAGCCTTCAAAACAGCAATCTCTGCCTGTTCCAACTTGCTGAAATATTCGTTGGCGCGGCTCTTGTACAGACTCAAACTGGAGTCGGCATCAATGGCCTTGGATGTTTCAGCATCCAATCTGATCTGGAGGTCTGAGAACTCTTGGAGTAGTTGGCTTCGGCTAGCGTTGTCATGCTCTCGTGCAAGCTGTAGCTCTTGGAGCTCTGATCTAGTGTCTCGTAGCTCAACTTCCATAGCAGCTCTTGCGTGCTTGAGCTTTTCAAATTCCGTCTTTGCGTGGGTGAGATCGGCTAGTGCAGACTTATGAACTTGGAGGAGAGACCGTCGGGACTGCTCCTGGGAGCTGAGAAGATCGTATAATTCCTCATGGGATTTCGCCTGTACATCACGGAGGCTCAACTCGCCGGATTGAATACTCTTTTCTAGGGCTGAAACCTTCTTAGCAGAATCATCTAGCTTCTCGTGGAGACGACCGTTTTCACGTTCAAGAATCTGCATGCGTCGGATAGATGGACTCTCGTCTTGCCACATATCTCGAGCTGGAGTAGCTCTATCAACCTGACTCTGGAGGTGACGGTTATGCATTTCAGCAAGCTGCAGTTGATTCTGAAGGCTCTCGATTTCTGCAGCTTGATCCATTCGTTTCTGGAATGTGACAGTATCGACAGTTCGATCTGACCGTCCAGAGTCACCAACTCCATCTATGAAATTGTTATATCGACGGTTGGGGGTTGAAGGGTTAGAAAACCGCTTATTAGGCTCCGAATTCTTCCTGAAGTGCCCTGGAGACCTTGTATTGGCCACCTGGTTTTGATCAATTTCTTCGAGAAGGGCACGCTTCGACGAAGAGTAGCGAGCATCAAGCTCATTCATTTCATCTGCGTGCCGGCGTCGCATCTCGTTCAGTTGATTCTCAGCCCTCGAACGTCTTTTCTTCACTGATCCGAAGGTCATTGTGGGCAGTCTCTAACAGAGCAGCCATATCAACCTTTTTGGACAGGTCCGGCTTTATTGTCTCCCATGATTTCTCGGTTGGCGATGTGTCATTAGGATCGAATACTTTGTGGAGCAATATAAGTTGCTGATGACAATCTTCTAGTTCCGAGTTCATCCGATCCATTGATGCCTGGAGCTTCTTGGTATTTGCCTGTGCCTGGGTTCTAAGCTGCCGTTCCGTCTCGAGATTTCTGTTTGCTTCTGCTAATTGTAACTGTGCCGTGGCAGCAGTCTTTTCTGCATTACGGCTAGCTTTGTGTTCGCGTGCGACTTCGTGGTTCAGGTCCTCTGCACTCAAAGCAAGTTTCTCCTTTTGCTTCTCGAGCGAAGTTATCGATAGCTGAGCATCTCCAAGTTGGCGAGTAAGTTGTTTATTTGATTCTTCCAGGCGAGATTTTTCAGTTTGAAGCTGCGCCAACCGAGCTCTTTGGGTATCACCAGCCCTTGAATTAGACCGTGCGATATCGAGGTTCTTTTGCTGGACTTTGTTCAAAAGAGCCCTGTTATCATTTTCAGACGCGGCGAGTCTGCCCTTAACAGTAACGAGTTCTCGCTCTAGCCGTTCCTTGTGTTGATCATTCTCGGTGCGGAAATTTTCAGACTTTGCAATCAGGTTACTCAGGTTTTGAACTTGAGAGCTCAGGCGGGCATGTCCTGCCTCGGCATCATTGAGTGCCTTCGATTTTTCGTTTAGCTCGGCCTGAAGTTTAGCCAGCCTCTCAGTTGCCTGCGCAGTCATCTTGTTTGCAAAGGTGTTCTCTGCATTCAGGCGAGATTCCTCGATTTTTGTAATTCGGTCCCGCAGTTTGATGACTTCTCCCTGGAGTTGCTTGCGAGATTCTTCTGCAGCGGCTCGAGCTTCCTTTGCCCTGCGAAGAGTATCCTGCTGGATATACATCTCTTTCTCGATAGTAATCTTGGCTTCATTGAGAATATCAAACTCCTCTTTCAGTTGTGCAAACTTGTGTTCTGAGAGCATCTGAACATCATCTCTCGACTGCTGTACTCGACTGAGCTCTGCTTGGGTCTGATATAGTTGGGTCTTGAGATCTTGGACCTGCTTGTCAAGCATCTTCCTACCCTGAGCTGATTCCGCATCTTCAGATAGCTTCTCTTCAAGGAGCTTCCTAGCGTCAAGCGCCTCGCGTTCAAAGTTCGCCTTTTCGAGCTTCGTGGTGTCTATTTCGGCCTGTAGGTCACGTATTCTTCGCTGCATATCATCATGTCGATCCGATAACCCCCTTTTTTCTGTTTCGAGGCTTCGTTTTTCGAACTCATGCTTTTTCAAATCAGCTTTGAGAATTGCGACCTCGCCCTCCTTACGTCGGACTAATTCCTCATAACCCGTCGAGGTCGATGACAAATCCGCAATCTGCCTTTGAATTTCACGGTTTTCCTCAAGCAATTGCTTAATTTGCTTTTTAGACCCTTCTAACTCTTTGGTGGTGTTTGCTAATTCGAGGTCGAGTTGTTGGTCGGAAGACAAAAGCTTTGCTTCCAAGTCCTGAAGTTTCTTGTCCTTCATAGCCAGGTGACTGTTGAGGGTATTGATCTCCTGGTTCAGGGCCCCGATCTTCTCATCGTACTCGCCGTGTGTTGATTCGACGGATTTCAGCTGTTTCTCCATATCCGAAATGCGCTCCTGCAGCTCCTTCTTTTCACCCTCAAGCCTCTCCATTATCTGCGCAGCCTGTTCAAGTTGACCTCTTCGTAGGTCTAGTTCGTGTTCTATTTTTTTCTTTGCTGCAATCAGTTCGTCTAGTTGATCTTCTAGGCTTTCCTGATCAGCGATTGCCCCAGCCAGTTTCTCGCTCAGTTCAACTTCTCTGAGTTGCAACCGTTTGAATATCTCTTCCTTGTCTAATGCAAGGGAACGTTCACTTTCAAGAGTTTTCCTGATTCTCTGCATTTCGGTTTCTATCTTGCGCCTTTCGTCTTCTATTCTCTGTCTTTCAGCTATGTCTTGTTGAGCCTTCGCTTCAAGCTGCTGGATTTTCTCGTCACGCTTCTTGACTTCTCCGGCTGTACGAGTCTCTCCAAGAAGTGGCTTCATTGTTGCGAACAATCTCCACCATGGGGATGATTTCAAGTTAAGATAGAGGTGAAAGTTGCGCTGGATGATTCGAGTAGCCTCTGTGCGGTATAGTCGTTTGTTTGCAATATGTCTTTGAATAAAGCCACGAGCCAACGACTGGAATTGCCTCATGATCTCACGAATCAGGGTATCACGTTGCTCTTCCAACTCTGCTAATACCCCAGCCCTGAAAAATATTTTTGTCAACCCGATTCTGAATAATGACTTGTCAAGACCCAGCTTGTCGACCATATATGTCACAGCCATCTGCCCGTCCAAGTAGCCCTTGGGCATACCACGGCACAGAACTTCGTATCTTTGGCGGAATTCATTGAACGTTAACCGATTAGGGAAGCCAGTTCGAGCAATTCTAATACCTTCAAGTACACCATTACATCGTAGTTGGTCCAAAACAAGTGGCCCATTGAAGAGTTTTGGTCGTTTCTTGTTATTTGGCAAGATGCAGCGAACGAAATGGGGATGAGTTGAATGTAGCTGAGCCATTAAGCTTGATAGCTGCTCCTTATGTCTCTGAGCGACAGTTCGGAAAAGACCCTTTTTGACAACACTCCGGGTTCCATTGGATACATCCTCAGCATAATCAGCGAATAAGTTAGCAATATGCGGGTCATTTGACTTGGACAACAGCCGTGTTACGTTGTCATTGAGGGGATCCTTGTTTTTTTCCAGCCAATTCTCCGTGTTATATTCTACCTCTGCAGCATAGTGAGTGAGAATGAAACCTTGGCTGAGTCGTGAGGCCCGATATTTTGGAGACTTTCGGTCCCATAAAGAATGAAGTTTTTCAGTAAATGTTTTGTCTGTAGCCTTTGGCATCACCGAATCCTCGTCAAGGCATGAAAATATACCGATCGGATTCGACAACTCAATAAGGTCGATTGTTGGTTGAAGGTCTTTCCCGAAATCGATGAATTGCCATTCAATTTGCTCTCTAGAGTATTCCTCCTGTTCCAGAACAAACATATGGTGGTTGAAAAATTGTTGCAATTTTTCGTTGGTGTAATTGATGCAGAGTTGTTCAAAGCTATTTGTTCCAAAAATTTCAAAACCTGCAATGTCAAGGACGCCGATGAAGTAGGTCTCTTCGCAGCTGATTCTGCTACGGTCCAACTGGTGATTGATCCTGTTGACTAGGTCTCCAAATCCTCGTTCATATATACCCTTTGCAAGAGAATCTATCGCGAAACGGACTTGCTCGGGTGTCTGGACCTTTTCAACCCATTCTCGCCCAGCCTTCACTCGAGGGTGAAGCAATCCCTTGACAAAAGGCTCGAGAGGTATTCCTAGGAGATGACAAGCATGCATGACACTCTCAGTATCATCTTGAGTGAGCTTAGCTTGGTCTGCCCGTAGACTCTCCTTGCCAACCGTGATGTTTCCCAGATGTAGAACTGCAGCAATTGTGCGCAATATCGCAAGCTGGTCCTCTTCTTCAAACTTCATCGTATCAAAGGCTTCGACGAGAGTGTCCCACTCATCCTCGTCAGAGACACCTGCTATGGTATCATTTCCGTCTTTAGTGTATGCAAAGTCCTGGATATCGAGATTTGAGAGGTGCAGCTGCTCACGCAACTCTTTGCTGGCTCCATGGAGTAGCTGATAAAAGATGTGATAACTTCGTTCCTGGGAATTGAGCTTGACAACTCGGGACTTTTCAAGCAAGTACCAATCAATGAAGGCTCCACATATCTGGCCGGTGCGAGAGAACTCTATACGAATGAACTTTCCGAACCGTGACGAATTGTTATTGCGAACCGTCTGGGCATTTCCGAATGCTTCAAGTATAGGATTAGCTCTCAATATTTGTTGCGAGAGATCCCCAAGTTGTTTAGATGACGGCTTTCCCTGGGCATCACCGGGCGCAACAGCAGCCAGGTACTGAATAACCTTCTTTGTGTTCTCTGTCTTTCCAGCACCAGATTCACCACTATGATATCAAGTGTGAGCAACTCAGCAGATTTGAAGGAAATAGGTGTGTACTTACGTAACAAGGATGCTCTGGTTCTCGCCCTCTTCTACAAGATTGCGAAAGGCTTCATCTGCCATTGCAAATATATGTGGTCGTGTGTCTTCTCGGCTTTGTCCTTTATACATTTTGACATATTCATTGGAGTATATAGGCAAAGGACAGTACGGATTCACGGTCACCAAGAAAAGTCCAGAGTAAGTCTATATGCCCAGTCAATAATGGTGTCTAGTCTTAGTTCTCCAACAGCGGTGTAAACATACGTAAATCAAGTCAGCCTGGTACCGGGTGTGTAGATTATGAATAACAGAGCCCTCATTTAAATGGGTAAGCTCAGCCATGTCGTCGGCCTTATCGAACTTTGGAGGGTTAACTTTATCAACGCCCTCTGGGTCAACTTCAACCTGCTATTATTTATACCAGCTGTCAGAACCTCCAACAAACACAAGTAATAAATGCCTATAAACTCACGCGCCCATCGTCACATTGCACGACCAGGAGGCCACCCTCTGTTTCTCGAAGAACAGCGCCCCGGATGAACGCTCGTTCGGGATCTTTAAGCCACACATATCTTTTCCCGGAAAAATCATTATCACCTTCTTCGCCCCTAATCTGATCGGCCCCTCTCCGTAGCTCTTCTGATTTTATGAACTTTGGAGCAAAGGTGTTTGAGGATTCGGAGGTGTGTCGTGCTGAGTTGGATCGTTGTCTGTTTATGCCGTTGATAGGAGTAGGATTTAATGGAGTTAAGGAGCCATTTCGTACATGCCCCGACGCATACGTCTGCACAGGTGATGTGAACGTAACTGACTTTGGTCGGCCGGACACTCTGGGGGCCGCATCTGGAGGAGCTGGGGAAGGTGAAGGAGAGCTCCGGGAAAAAGGATTGTGTCTTCTGGACGGGCTATTAAACGAAGGATGCATCATTACAGAAGGTCAGTGAAGGAATTAGCTGGTATTAGGTCGTTGAACGGGCGTCAATTCATGAATAGCCCTGAGGAACGATGACGAGGCACCCTTAGGTGTAAGGGTCATGGGAGTGGTGACAGGAGCAGGTTGACGGTCAAACTGAAAAACAAATAATATCAATACTAAAAAAGGATGCAGAAGCAGAATTCATATCACATCAAAAGTCATTCATTTTGTCTTTTCCGATAAACCTGGTAGGTTAGTAGCCATGGGTTTGTTTGCGGCCTCGAAATCCCACCATTAATCGACTTTTAATCGCCAACTTTAGCGTTGTTTGTTTACATCCTTCCTGTTCGGGGCTAGCGCAAGCACTGCGCTTGGCGCTGGCGCTTATTCTTCTCACGTGATGTCGAGATTCCGCCAAGCCTGATCTTTTTTTCAACTCCCTGATATCAAATTCGAAGGGAAGAACGAACATCTCGAAGTTGGACACTTTTTCTACACTCGAGGACCGAAGGAATGCGCGTCTCCTGCCTGGCTTGTGCTATTTGATAAGCTGACAGATTACTCATCTAGTTATTGATTGGCCACAGAAGTTCACAGCAGGTGGCACTTTATCCCTTTTTCTCCCGCTCCTTCACCTTGCACTTTCGTTCTCATGCCTCGACATCAAGCCCTTGAACCGTATAGAACCAACCGCATTTTTTCTTGATATGCGAACTTCCAGATAAGAATGTTTATCTCCGCTACATCTGGAAGCATGTCAGGGTATCAGCAAGCGCCATCGTATGGGGGTTTTGATCCCCGTTGGTCAAATAGCCAACCTGTAGGCTACGACCCAAATATGCCCTATCCTTCATACGATATGGAACGACCTTATTTCCCCCCTCATGATCCCCAGACGGTATATGGCGCGAGTGCTGGTTATTTTCAGACAGGGGATCCTCGGTACCTACATCCACAGGCATCATATCTATTATCTCAACCTGTACCGGTATGCATCGCCTTTGTGTCTGTTTTCATACTCGTAATCTTACATATAGATCCAGAATCATCCACCAGCTACATATCAACGACCCGCTGACGCGCCGGAACCGGAAAAAATGCCAGACGCGATGGACGTTGACGCGAGGGAAGAAGGCGAGCTGAGCAGCTGTGAGGAAACCGTTGAACAAAGGAGTCCTAACCCGGAGAGGCTATTTGCTCCTTACGCGCAGAATTCTAGAAGCATACAAGGTGCCGCCGGTAACAAACCACAACAGAACGAACCGCAGTCCCAGTCACCCTCAACCAACTTACATCGACCAGTGCATAATAACCCAGAGAAAACTAATTCAACGAAGGACAATGCCCACGCGAACCCGTTAGCTGGGAAGTCTCCTTCTCAATTGAAAGCACTTGCTCAAGGAGCGTTATTGAATCTCGCACCCCACAAAATTCGCTATAATGAGTTGGTTCGGGAGGGGATAGACCCCATCATATTGAAGAGCTTATATGATGAAATCGGAATAAAGGTCACCACTGAGCCGCTCGGTAAATCTGTTGGAATCGTTAAAGAGCTAGGCGAGCCCAAAACCTCAAATACCGGTTTTAGCCCTGCTGCAAATCCTATTGCACGGGACGAATCTGTAACCAAACAAAACGCTACTCAGGACACGGGTGCCAGCTCTAGCAAGCCCATGGAGCGAAAAGATGTCATTGCTCGCATGCTAGCTGCAAAAGCTGCCAAATCTACACCACCTTCGATACCTACGGCTAAAACCGCGAAGTCAGACCAGGTCACTGCATCTCCGTCCCAGCCCACTAAAATGGCAATCCGGAGTCTTGATGAAAGCTCCCCTCAAAAAACACAAACTCCGGCACAAGCTACTCCTGAAGAAGTTAGAGTGAAAGAGAAGAACAAAGCTCAGACGGAATTAGCTAGGCAACGCATGGAGCAACTTAAAAAGCTCGGGCTTGGGAAATCAACACCTCAAATTCCTGGTCTCACCTCTTCTCCATTGACATCTAGTGCGGATATTCCCGTCTCAACTGTTTCGCAAGAATCGCGCTCCCTCCCACACTCCTTACCCGACCGCCCGCCACCGTCCGGGATGCCAGGACTAACTCAAATTCCCGGCCTCGTTCTGACAGAGGCTGACTCTCACAAGACGAACGACTTAGTTACTGCTGAGAAACCACAAGATGGTCTCAAGGACAATGCGGAGACATCTCGTGCCCCAAGAAAACGGCCAAGAGCTTCGGATTTTACTGATGATCCTGAGGAAACACAAACAAGGAAACACCAGTTATCAACACGCTCAGCTAGTGCTGAACAGAAAGTTATTATTGATATCAGCGATGACGAGGCAATGTATGGTGGTTCTGACAATGAAGGCAGAGCAATGCCAAACCATACAAATACGCCCCGTACAATTCGTTCTACGAAATCCACTGCTCGTGACTTGCCACCATTATCCGATTTTCCACCCAAGAGTCGTGGCTCCCATCGTTCCACTCCTGGGACTATGTCAAATACTCCCCCGAATCCCGTCAATGGTCTACAGCAGAAAAATATGGAGATACTGGCCATGCGTCAAAGAATTGCGGAACTAGAGGCTCGTCGCATTAAAAAGCAAGCGTCAAGCCAAAATCAAAGTTCCGGTTCTTCAAATGCGTCGGCAGGCGTAACCTCCGATGGAACTGTACAAGAAACTGAAAATTCTTCATCTGAACTCGAAAATGCTCAAAAGGCGCCCACGCCGGCTGTTGAGGGGGGAATAATCGGGATAGTTGACTCGGCCTCTCCATTACCAAATTCTACCTCTACTACCTCCAGTGTCCAACCACCAGCAGCTTCTAACCTAGGTGTCAACCGTGCTGAGGAGTTACGGTTGAAGGCTCTCCGTCGAAAGGAAATTGAATCTGGACTCCCACTTCTGGATGCAGAAATACTCAAAACAGAACAGAAGTTGGCTGAATTTCGCGAGCAGGAAAAGAGACTTGTCGATCAAATTGCTAAAGGCCGAGAAGGTAAACGCAAGCTGATCGAAGAACTCGAAAGCCTAGGGATCGAAACTGAGGGCTTGTCAATTTCAGAGCTCAAGGAAATATCGGATGAAGTTGGAAATATCAATGATAGTTCTTGTAAGTGATACTTTATAATTTCACACGCCGCTAATTACTAACTTGGTATAGCCAAACAGGATATTCCGGCAAATACATCGACCACAGACCAAGAAATACAAAGGTCTCCGGCCGACAAAGAAGAGGGCCTCGCCACTAGCATCCCCAGCTCAACAGAAATGGCTCACAACGTCGAAAATCTTGTAAGTCAAGATAGTACGGCGCATGAAATAGGAAGTGCGCAAGATACAGCAATGGAAAACGCGTCTTCTGGTGGACCTCGTGAAACTCGCGAAGAATCTTATTCTAGTTCTGCTATGGACGAATCCATGGGAAGCTCAGAGGACGAATCAGGTGAAGAATTAGCTTCAATGGCTAAATCCACCTCATTAGGCAGTCCTGACGATGACGAAATGGTCATTATGAAGGACGCTTCCCTCTCAGAAGAGGATAAAATCTCACAGCATATACCTCAAGAAAAAAGCACAAATTCCATATCGTCGAATCCAGATAATGATGGCGAACCCCAATTTACTCCTCGGGGAGAATCTGTTGCGTCTGAGGGATATGAACCCCCCGAGCCTGACACCTTGGAAAGCCCTCCATTCAGTCCCGCCCCTCCTCAACCCATAGAACAAATATCTATGGAACTCAGTCCTGGACCCGAAGATCCAGATGCACATGCGCTAACTCTTAGTAAACAAGAAGCGGACTCCCCAGCTATTCTGGCACCCTCCACGGTACACAATCTTCTCTTTACACTTGCAATTATCGATCACTAATATAGAGCTCATAGAATGACGCTGATACTTCCTTGCATCAGTCCAGTTGTCGTTTCAGCCCTTACCGTAGTCCATTGAAACTATTTAGGGCATATCGCTATCACCCCGATTTCACAAATCTTACAAGTGGTGGTTTTCGCTCTCTGACTTACAGTCATAATATTGATCCACACAAACCCCTATGTGACCTTGAGATTGCCGGTGGCGTTTGTGACGCTCCCTCATGTGGTTTTCAACATTTCCGTGATATGAATCTGAGTGGTGCGTTGAGGGGATGATCGTCTTCAGATTCTGGCTCCTCCTTATCTTTCCTCCTTGATACCCTTTATGTCTAAATTCCTGATTCCTTAAGATATTCCCTGTCCCTTTTGTTCATTGGCTTGGAGTGATTGGCTGACGAATAGGCGCTGTTAACTTTCTTAGATGACAAAATTCTCGTTGAAATGGGTTCTTTACGAGAAGGAAAAACCCCAGCTGAACGAGAAGAGTATGTGACCGGGCTCAGGCAGATAATCAACGATATGAGGCGTGATAAGGTGAAAGATTTCTCCGTCGTCGCGCAAGAAATTGCTGCATATCGCCGACGCTTCCTTCAGGATCCTTCCCGAGTTTTAGCTCTGTAAGCCCTTTCCACCCATTGCCACTCGACCAGACCGTAGGAGAAAACACCATCAAAGCCAATGCTTCTACCCCCCTTTGAAGAAAGGTGAGATGATGGATTCCAGGGGCCACGAACCTAGTCTGTTTTCTAATATGCAGGGCTACTTGAAGGGTCGTTGGTTCTGATAAGTACCACGCCGGCCGCCATTTTGCACATATTAAACAGCTTTACCCGTTTTGGTTCACAGGCTGTTTTCCAACAGCCACATTTCTGTTCCAAGATTTCTTACACTTCAAATACCCATATCCTTTTCTTGGTGAGCGTATCATTACTCTGTTGCCTGTGGGTATCAGGGATGTGATATTCATTTGAAGTACGACAATCATCGAGTTTATCTTCGGACTAGCGTAGCATGCATATATTTTACTTTCGACATTTTAGCACCCAGCTTCGATGTTTTTGTTTTATACAGAGCAGGTGAACATTAACCTGTCTGTTCAGCGATATCTGGCGCCCCGAGCGCCTCT